AGTGGGTTAAGCATCTGTCTTCCGCTCAGGTCATGATCCCATATCCAGCTTCTTGCTCAGTGGGGAGACTGCTTCTCCCTCTGCTTGTTGCTTCCCATGCTTGTGCTTTCTCGCTCTCTCTCTGACAAATAAATAAATAAAAATCTAAAAAAAAAAAAAAATAGAGAAGAAAAAAATGTTGGGGTGGGGGAGAAGGAAGGGAGAATGGAGAGCTGGAGAGCAGGAGGGAGCGAAGGGAAGAGGGAGAAGGAAGGAAGGAAGGAAGGAGAGAAGGGAGGGAGGAAAGAAGGAAAAAATCAGGACCATATGAAGTAACCAAAAAAAGAAAGAGAAAGGGGGCGCCTGGGTGGCTCAGTGGGTTGAAGCCTCTGCCTTCAGCTCAGGTCATGATCCCAGTGTCCTGGGATCGAGGGCTCTGTGCTCAGCGGGGAGCCTGCTTCCCTTCCTCTCTCTCTGCCTGCCTCTCTGCCTACTTGTGATCTCTGTCTGTCAAATAAATAAATAAAATCTTTAAAAGGAAAAGAAAGAAAGAGAAAGGAAGCAAGGGAAAACAAGAGTGGAAGAAACGGACAAAGAGAACTAGATCTACTGCATACTTCATATTGTTATGGGCATTTTACTATTGTTTCTCCTTTTCTTCTTCATCTTCCTTCTACCCCTTTCTTCTCCATCTCATACCCTTTTGCAGGCAAGGAGAGGGGGACCCAGAGAGCCCACTTTGACCAGACTGCCTTGGGCTGGAGTGACCCTTACTAGCTTAATGACCTTGGGTGGGTCACTTAATCCCTCTGGACCTCAGCTTCCTCATCTGTAAAATGGGACATTAATAACTACCTTGCAGATTTATTGAGTAAACAAGATAACACACATAATGCCTAGCAACTGTCTCATGTTCAAAACATGGTAGTTATTATTAGCCTGATTACTTTTAAGTAAGTTGTCAGAGGCCAGAGAGATAGTGGAAAGCCAGAGTTTTGACTTGGGGCTGCTGAGTCCAGAGCACAAACATTTCACCCCACCAGACTGACTCACTGACAAACTAGGAAAGTGGCACCTCAATTGTAAACCCTCTCTCCCACAGGTGTACATTTATGCCAGGGGAGTATACACCTATTATTTTTGCCTGCCCAGCAACCATTACCTTTTATTATGGAAACAGCATCTACCTTTTTCTCAGTCTGAGAGGTTCTTAGTCTGCAAGATAATTTTATTGGGAAGGAAGATTTCTAATGAGGTCTTAGACCTGTAGATGTAAGCCCAGAGCTATTGGAAGATTTTTGGCTAACTTTGTGGGCTTATGAAGGCAGAGTTCAGAGTTCTAGATCAACAGATCCCTAACATTATCATTTGGGCACCTAGATACAACTGTGCCTGAAGCTATCATTTGGATTTTTCCCCCCTAGGTAATCTGAATGCATTTTTATGTCCCTTGCAACCTAGTGTCTCTGCCTGACTAATACAAGGCTTGTCTTATGATAAGGTTCATGTACCTTAAACCATACCAGGTTGACTCAATAATATAGAGACCAAAAAGGAAAAAGACAAAAGAAATAAATCAAAAACTTTCTCTTTCTCACTCTCTTTCATTTTATATGCATGGTACCTCTGCTAATGGTTGCTAGATGAGTGTACAAACATGTCCAAGAAAGTCCCTTCACATTACCACTTATTAATAACCTAATTACCTGCATAATAAACATCATGGTTCTTTGTATTGATACCAAAACTGTCCACATGAAGCCTGTGTCTGTTCGACAAAAATCTATCAAGCTCTAATTCCGATGCCTCTTTGAGAAAACTGGAGTTGGTAAAACCTAAAAATACGTATGTTTTACTATGAGTTTGGGATTGTCCTTGTGGCTGAACTCCTCCAAAGGAAGAATCATTTACCAAATATTTACTGTTCTCTTCCATGTGCCACTGTCTCAGGGTGTCTTAATCAGGATAATCAAGATAAGTAAAACAATTCCATCATTTCTTAGATATTTAGCATTCCAGCAGCGAACAAGCTCTCTCCTCTCCCTTCCCAAGGATGCATGTCTCCCTTCTTTTGCTTATAGACCATGACTTGGCAGTCCAGGGTCTCGACCTCAGAGCTGGCTTTGGTTACCACAGCCTTCGTGAACCCATCTGCTGGGGTGTTGAGTCACAGAGTCATAAAGAGGAATGTTTCCCACTGAACCTCACACCAGAGTAGCTAGACTTGGAACTAAGCTGGCTGTTGACTTAGCTGCCCCGGAGAGGAGAAGATGGGAGACGTGGGAGGTGGGGAGCCTGCTCGATGCAGACGGTCACCCCATGATGACCTCACCTGCCAAACCAGTGACTCACCCCCAGTCCTCCCCCCTCCCTGCCAGATCTTGCTCATGTGGAATACCTGAGGGGAATACCAGGCTGCTGTAGTTATCGAAAAGGCACAACTGTGAACTACTTTTAAAGGTGTGACGTTTTCTTACTTTCAAGTGGAGGCAGCAACCCCTGCAAAGTCAAGAAATGGGTCTTAGGTTAAAGCCGTTTTAATAAATGCAGGAGACTCTCCTTTTAAAAGATGGAGTAGAAAGGAACGGAGAGCACTGGGGTGGTTGGTTTTCTGTACATGTTTTTTCATTGTGGCAAAATAATACATAACAAAATTGATCATTGTAACCATCTTATATACACATATACAAGTATACATGTGAGTGACCTTCAGTACATTCACCATGTTGGGCAACTATCACCACCATCCATTTCTAGAACTAGTTCCCCCTCCTGAACAGAAACCGTAGAGGCATTAAACAATAATCCCGTTTCCTCTGCCCCCCCCCACTCCCAATGCCAGCCCCTGATAACTTCCATTTATTTAACTTTCTCTCTCTATAAATCTGTCTGTGCTAGGTACGTCATAAAAGTGGAATCCTACAAAATGTGTCCTTTTGTGACTGGTTTATTTCACTTAGCATAATGCCTTCAAGTTATCCATGTTGTAGCATGTGTCAGAATTTGTTTGTTTTTTTTTTTTAAGGCTGACTAATATTCCATTGTGTGCGTGTACCATATTTTATTTATTCATTCATGAATTGATGGACATTTGGATTGTGTCTACTTTTTGGCTATCCTGTGTGGTTTAGCTTTGTGTCCTTGAAGTTCACTTTTTAAAAAGTGGTTAAAAGGTTTTCTGAAAAGAAAAATTTGCGTGTAAATTGGGGCTAGGATGACCAGTTCTTACTACTCAGGAGTGTTGTGGAGATGAAATTAGGTTCTGGGGAGCAAAGTACTTTTTAAACTCCAAAATGTCCTATAAAAATATTCTCACTTTGTTTCTAATATTTGCTTAGCAACCACCCCCCCCCCCCCATGGAGAAAAAAAGGAACCCTACCCTAGCCCATCTTCATATTATAAGAAATCTTAGGTGGAAGAGGCACAAATGAATGAGGTTTTGGGGATGCCTATGTGCACTGCCCTCTTCCTGTCCTTTCTAAAGCAGAGTGCAGTTGTACTGAATGCTTATTATGGACCAGGATATGATTTTATTAGTTACTAAGTATTAAACTACTAGCTGTAGGACATAGACAAGTTACTTTACCTCTTTGTGCCTCAGTTTCTTAGTCTGCAAAGTATGAATCAAAACAATGAAACCCACCTCAGAGAGTCGTGGATATTGAATGTGGTAAAATGACTATAGAGGATTTAGCCCAGTGTTTGACAATGGGTGGGCATTCAGTCACCCTTAGCTGCATTTATTTAGGTTATTATTGTAGATTTCTTATTCCTTCTTTAGGATTATTGCTGCCCTGATCTTCTCAATCATTACTAACACATAATTAAAGACTAAATGCCTGGTCTCTGTACAGTAAAAAAAAATGCGTCAATTCAAGGCACAGGCTAGATGCTCCATATTAAGCTTGCCCAGAGTGACTTAAAACAAACACTGTACCGAAGGTGGATGAAGCCAGGGAATATTCTAAAGAGAATCGTAAGAAACTGCTCCAAAAAGATTAAAAAAACAAAAACAAAACAAAACAAAAAAATCCAAGAATTCAGAGTATTGAAAAGTCTGTTTTGCCAGGCACGTCCTGTCTTGGGGTTGTTCTTTGTGTTTCGATTTGCGGGGTGGGGGGAAATGTTTCTTAGCCAACGGTTGGGTGAGAGTGCTTTGAGTCCTGATAATCCTGCATAAAAAGAAAGGTGGCCCAGCAGGGCGTCCCCAGGGGAGCAGGCGGGACCTGCAGCCCCCATCTCACTGGGCCGGCACCGAAGAGCCCGAAGAGCTCGCGGTTTCCCGCAGGAGGTCCGGGTCACTTCTGAGGCAGGTTGGCCTCACCAAGACTGCCAGGATGCTGTCGTCTCCATGACTACAGAGTGCGAACCGGAGACGCAGCTTGCCAGTGGTGTCATCCTCCGAAACCAAAAGCCCCCGCCCCCACACCGCCCCAGCCGCCGACCGCAGGCAGTGGAATTCTTCTGGGAAGGCGGCTGACGTCGCTGGCGGCCGCTGCCCCAGCCCTGGCAGCGCTGATGCAAGCACGGCCCTGCAGGCAGCCCCCTGGGAGAGCTGGCGCAGCGCTCCGTCTTGTTCTCTTCCGGCCACCCCGCCCGGTTTTCCCTGCGAGGAGTCAACAGCTCCTGGGTGGTTCCTCACCGAAAGGTCCAGTGCGGGTGGGGGTGGGAAGGTGTCTTTGCCTAAACCAGTTCTTCCTCCTCTCTTCTTCCCAGACTTCCTTGGAGAGTCAGAGCATCCCAGCCTGACCACGTGTGGGTCAATATGAAGGGCTCTCTGGCTCCCAGCCGCTCCCGGGACATGGCCCGGGTTGCTTGAGACACCTGGTGCCAACTGGTGCCAAGGCAACCGCCCGGATCACGAGGGGATCTTATGTCTGAGTGGGGAGGTGGTGAAGGGCCGGTGAAGTGCAAGGTGTCCACCCAGGGCTGGTCTCCATCGCCCTCTGCTGGGCAAATGAGAGAGTTACTCTAAAGTTCCCGGGGGGACCTCCCGCGCACTTGGGGTGGGGGTGAGGGTCCGGTGGGGGTGGGGAACGGGGATGGGGCTGGAATATTAGAGATCACGCTCCTTATGAAACAGACCAGGAAACTGAGGCTGAGAGGGGGCACGGGACCTATCCATCGTCCCGCAGCTAGGACCAGTTTGGGACCGGGAGTCACACTGACATCCTCTCTGCCAAAATTCTATGTTGTTTCAAGTGAGTGAGAAGTCTTCCCACAGAGGACTCATCATAGAGAGCGTGTTTCACGTCCGACTTCCCTGTGAGGCATTTCTTCACCACGGCCTCACAGCACCGGTCCTAGCGGCCTGGGGACTCCGACCCTTCCAAGGTATGCAAAACCAAAACCAGTTTCACGACAGCGTTAAGCGGCTATTTGCCATTGTCCCTGTTTCTCTCCGCAGTGTGCAGTAGAGTTTTCCAAAGACGGTAAGACAGGCGGTGCAGCCACAGACTGCAGAAGCAGGTAGGAGAATCCCGCTGTCTTCTATGAAGGCAACATTTAAAGAGAGATGCAAACAAGCGCCATTCTGCTCATTAATTTTTGTTTGGTTTTGTTTTAGAAAGCATAGCTACTCTCACAAAAAGTATCTTGGGGCACGTGGGTGGCTCAGTGGGTTAAACCTCTGCCTTCTGCTCAGGTCATGATCTCAGGGTGCTGAGCAGGGAGTCTGCTTCCCCCTCTCCCTCTGATACTCCCCCTGCTTGTGCTCTCTCTCCTTGTCTCACTCTCTGTCAAATAAATAAATTCTTTTAAAAAAGTATGTTAATATCTAATACTTACTATGTTTCAAGGAGTTTACAATATTTAAAACATTTCTTTGTCCTAACTTCTAGAATGGCAAGTACACATAGGTAGAGCTTCCATGAAAAAAAGCTCATTAGGGTCCTTTGGGATCATGAAGAGTGTAAATAGCTCCTGAGACCGTAAACTTTCAGAGAACAGTTGCTGTCTGGAAGGTGGCCTCTTCCTAGTCACTGTCATATCTCCCTCTTTTATTTCCTTCACTGTCCTCTTCACTGAAGAAATGACCTCATTTCTTATTTATTTATTTATTTATGACTCATGCTGGGGGGTCTTGTTAATTCAAATTTGGATTCAGTAGGTCTGGGCTGAGGCTGAGGGGGTTCTCATATTCCAACGGGTTCCCAGGGACCACACTTTGAGAACTTCTGCTTCAGTCTTGCTCTGCCCTTTCGGATGGTGCGATGCCCGCCTCAAGACAAAACAAATCAGATGGCTATTCAGTGTCATCAGTGAGACTGTTTATGCAGGTGGGACCAGTTTGTGTCTGCTCCAGGGTAAGGACTGTTGGAAAAAATTGAGGGTCAGCTAATCTGCAAATTGGGAGAGGGAGCAACAGTGAAGTCAGGCCTCAAAGGAGTTGGAGCTACCGTTGAAAACAGGCGTGGAGCTTTAACAGTAAACTGAAGGGCATTCGATTAATGAGCATTAAATCAAAGATGCTAGGGGCTGCGTTGCAGCAAGCCACTCATAAGACAGAAACGGTGCTTCTTCAGCTACGGTTCTAGAATCAGCTAGAATCGTCCCCAAATCTCAAAGCGTGTGGTAGACAGTTGAATAATGGGAATTTTAGTTGTCATGAGGAAAAAAAAAACCTTTACTGTGAGAGGGGGAAAGAATCTAAATATGCTGTATAACATTTTTGCATTGGGGTGGAAAATGTCTTTAAAACCAAACTGCATGTAACTGTTTCTGCTATCTAATTTGGGGTGGTAGTATAATTTACATCAGTGGAAAAATGAATATCTCTATACTGGGTCTTTCCACTTACAGAAGGGAAGGAAGAGGACTGACGTAAAACTTGTGCCAGTTGGGTTATATCGCCAGAGAAGGGATTACAACTCAGATGCTTCCAGAGGCCAGACTTTTGAGTCACACAAACCCAGCGTTTTGGTGGATTCTGGTGAAGAGTAACCGTCTTGCCTGGCAGAAGGGGCAGCTTGCTGCTGCCACGTTTGATCAGGGAGCACCCCCCCTGCCATGTTGTCATGTCCTCCCTAGGTTTTTGAAAGAAGCTGGAAACCAGGGTTTTAGGCGAAATGCGTCCATTTTTTTAATATCGGGGAAAGAAATAAAATTGAATACACCATTGAACAGGTTTTTGTGCTGAGCCAAACAGAGCAAATCCTCCAAACTCTGAGGCAAATGAAGTGGGGAGCCAGGTTTGGTGGGTCTTTCTTCGGCTGAGCGTTGACGTTCAAGGCAGATGATATCTGAGGGGAGTATGTGTGTGTGTGTGTGTGTGTGTGTGTGTGTGTGTGTGTGTGTGATGGTAAAGTGTCTTGCCTAATCAGATGGGGAGATTTCAGTATTTCTGTGGGAAAGGAGCAGCTCAGAGGGAGGGCAGTCTTGGGGAACAGAGGAGCAGCAAGTGTGAGGAAGAAGGGGGTGGGGGAGATGGTGAGCATGCAGAGACAGGGGCGGGTGTGGTGGTGGGGACGTATGTACCTCTGTTAGGTGAGGGAGTTTTTGAGGGGGTTGGTATGAGGACGAAGGAAAGGAAGCTGTGTTCCACCTGCTGTTGGAGCTGAGCAGATAGAGGTTATGAGCCGCCTGAGGTGAGATGCAACTGAGATAAAATAGTAGGAACAGGATTCAGCCTGACGGCTGAGAGAACACGGCGTTCCAGGAACTACCAGAAAAAGTTGGGCTTGCCTCCGGGGATGGATAGGGGCCTTCAGTCACTTTTATGTCTAAGGAGCAGGCAAGACCCAGCAGGTAGCCTCTGTAGGGTGGTGAACTAAGGGATGGACCCTTCAAGCCACTGTTTGTCTCATCTGTAATTTGGGTAAAGTCATTTAACTTCTCTGGGTTTCGGCTTCCCTTTATTTTTATTTTTTTTTAATTAATTTATTTTTTTTTAAAGATTTTATTTATTATTTATTTGTCAGAGAGAGTGAGCACAGGCAGACAGAGTGGCAGGCAGAGGCAGAGGGAGAAGCAGGCTCCCTGCTGAGCAGGGAGCCCGATGTGGGACTCGATCCCAGGACACTGGGATCATGACCCGAGCCGAAGGCAACCGCTTAACCAACTGAGCCACCCAGGCGTCCCTCGGCTTCCCTTTAAAATGAGTAATAATAACATCCGTGTCACCTCCCAATAAGGTTCCTGTAGGAGCAGCTAAGATACTATACAAGAAATGTTTGGTAGAAAAAGAGAACTAGGTACACGTGGGTGGCTCAGTCGGTAAGCATCTCCCTTAGGCTCAGGTCATGATCCCAGGGTCCTAGGATCGAGTCCCGCATCCGACTCCTTGCTCGGTGGGAAGTCTGCTTCTCCCTCTCCCACTCCCCCTGCGAGTGTTCCCTCTCTCGCTGTGTCTCTCTCTATCAAATAAATAAAATCTTAGAAAAGAAAAAGAATTAGAATAAATGTGAAGTGTTGGCTGACAGATGATACTCTGTTGGTCTGAGTGACGATACTGGAGATTACGGACAGTCACTGAGCACCTACAGTGTGGGGCTCTGCCACACTAAGCACTTCCCGTGCATGGTCTGATTGAAACTTCCTAGCACTGGCAGAATATCTCTATATCTCCACTATACAGAGAAGAAAACAGAGGTACAGAGAGATAAACTAACTTGCCCAAGGTTATTTAGCTGACGACTGGTAGAACCAGATCTGAGTGACTCTGAATATGACATTTGTAACTGCTCCGTGACAGGCTGCCTTGACGTGTACTCCTAATTTTATGTTGGCCTGCATATTGGAGAATATCAATCCTATGTGCTTTTCAACACTACTATGTTGGTATATACAGGTATACAGGTTCTTCTTCTTCTTCTTCTTCTTCTTCTTTTTTTTTTTGGTATATACACGTTCTTATTCACTAGGACTTTAAAATATCATTTTGGTCATTCATTCAATCACGGATCTAGTGAGTGCCTCCTGTAAGCTGGGTGTAGTGTTACTAGTAAGAATACCTCCACAAACCAAAGACAGTCTCTTGCCTTCCCAAAACTTACAAAGTAACTAAAGAGAACAGAATTCAATGATTACAGATACCAGGTGAGAAAGGCAAGTGCTTTGGTCTGAGGGAGGAGAGGACATCCTAGATAAGGCCTAAAGAATCAAGAGGAGTAAACCAAGGAAAGGTGTGGAGCAGAGACAGTGTCCCAGACAGAGAGAATCAAACAAGAAAGCCAGGAGGTGAGCAAGTGCTTGGAGCCATGGAGGGAAGGAAGGTCAGACTCTGTGCCCAGCATGGAGGGTTCAAGGGCCAGTGGTGAGTGATGATGATGGGAGGCGGTCAGGGACCCTCAGATCACATAGGGCCTTGTGAGTCATGTGGAGGTATCTACATACATATATTTTGTGTATGTTTTCATTTTTTCCCTTAAAAACCAAACCAGAATCATGCCTAATACAGTATTTTTTTTTAAGATTTTATTTATTATTTGAGAGAGAGAGAGTTGTGTGCACATGAGCAGAGTGAGGGGCAGAGGGAGGGAAGCTGACTCCTTGCTGAACAGGGAGCCCAGGGTGGGACTCAATCCCAGGACCCTGAGATCATGATCTGAGCCAAAGGCAGATGTTTAATGGACTGAGCCACACAGGTGCCCCTAAGATTTTGTTTTTAAGTGATCTCTACACCCAATGTGGGACTCAAACTTATAACACTGAGAGTAAGAGTCACACACTCCACCGACTGAGCTAGCCAGGCACCCCATAGTTTTGACATTTCTGTACACAATCCAGAGAATCAAGAGAATGGTTACTTAGGCCCCAATAATCTCCCTCCTGCCCCTTCCAGCCACTGACAACTGCTGTTTCGCTTTCTGTTACTATCCGTCTGTGTTTTCTAGAATTTTATCAGTTGAATGTCTCAAGTCGATGGACTCAAACACTGGGTACATTTTTTTTTTTTTAAGATTTTATTTATTTATTTATTTGACAGACAGAGATCACAAGTAGGCAGAGAGGCAGACAGAGAGAGAGGAGGAAGCAGGCTTCCCGCGGAGCAGGGAGCCCGACGCAGGGCTCGATCCCAGAACCCTGGGACCATGACCCGAGCCAAAGGCAGAGGTTTCAACCCACCAAGCCACCCACGCGCCCCCACTGTGTACATTTTTATCTCTCTTCTTTCACTCACATAGTTATTATGAGACTCATCCCTGCTGTTGTGGGTAACATGCTTTGTTCCTTTTCATTCCTGAATAAAGTCCTCTCCTGTTTTAAAACCTACTTTTTTCACCTAATATATCAAGATAGCTGGCTCTAGGTCAAATATCAGAATTCGAATATCAGCCGTGCCTTCAGCAAATGGACAAGCTTGGGCAGAGACCTCACTACGTTACCCAGTTTCCCCGAACCTCAATGACCATGTCTGTTACAAATGGATCTTAGCAGTACTACCTCGGTAGGCATGTTGAATGGTAAGTGAGAGGATGTGTGTCCCTGTGCCTGGCAATTGTTCAATAAAGTCATCAGGCGTAGTATTGCTACTATTTCTGTTAGGGTTCACACCTGGTACTTTTTTTGTATTTTGGGGTTGTTTGTTTTTAACTTTTGAGCTTCAATTTTTAAAATTTATTTATTTACTTATTTATTTTTAGTTTCCTTAAGGAATCTCTATACCCAATGTGGGGCTTGAACTCATTACCCTGAGATCAAGAGTCCTGTGCTCTACCAGGCACTGACCTAGTCAGGCGTCCCTAAAGTACATTTTAAGAGAACATCACACACAGCCATGGAATGCTGATGTGCCCCTGAAGCTAGAAAGCAGGGAGCAGAGACCGAGTTCCCTTCCTGGTGAAAGCATGAGCTCCAGGGTGGACAAAGCCAGTGCCTTCACCTCTCTGCTCCCCAGATTCTCTTCCTCAAGCCCGCTGGCATCCAAAGTGGGGTTCGTGATGTGAGAGAACTTAAAGGTTCTCTACGGGCGAGCAAAAAAGGGAAGCTGGGTTAACTACAACCCGTTTAGTCACGCAGACAGTCATGCCTATCGTTCTAACCCCAGAGCCCCACGTCTTCTTTGATTGCTTGCTCAAACAGTACATTAAATCATCTCTAACATGCAATAACTATGTTATGTTTAAACAGAAGTGTCTCCAAAAGACAAATACTGTATGATTTCATTCATATGTGGAATCTAAAAAACAAAACAAATGAGCAAACACAACACACCAGAAACAGACTCATATATACAAGAGAACAAAGTGTTGGTTACCAGAGGGGAGGGGGGGTTGCAGAACAGAAGAAATAGTGAAGGGGATGAAGAGATATAAACTTCTAGTTATAAAATAAACAAGTCACTGGGATGTAAGGTATAGCATGAGGAGTAGAGTCCTTAATTTTGTAATGACTTTATATGGTGACAGATGGTGGCTAGACTTACCATGGGATCATTTCATTATGTATAAAAATATCAAATCATTTTGATGCACACCCCAAACTACTAGGATATTGTGTGTTAGTTATGCTTCAGTTAAAAACACAAATCAATGGGGCGCCTGGGTGGCTCAGTCTGCTTTTGTTAAGTGTCTGCCTTTGGCTCAGGTCATGATCCCAAGGTCTGGGATGGAGCCCCGCATCGGGCTCCCTGCTTGGCTGGGAGCCTCCTCCTTCTCCCTCTCCCCTGGGTTTTGTTCCCTCTTTCACTGTCTCTCCCTCTGTATATAAGTAAATAAATAAAATCTTTTAAAACACACACACACACACACACACACACACACACACACAAATTAAAAAAGAGAATTTTCTCCAAGGCTTACCTGCAAAGGAGGTGTCTGCCTTGTGTCCTGACCACAGCGTTATAAATAAAGCCCGCAAAAATTTATCTACACTTTGCTATCCTTTCAATGCCCCATTCTATCATCTCCCAGGCCTGCATGGCCAACAGCAAGGACAGCCATGTCTTCTAATAGAAATATACCTAAAACCCCGAGCTTTGGAGTAGGTGAGAGTGGAGTTCAAATCCCAGTCTTACCAAATATTGATTCTTAAACTTGAGCCAGGTACTTTAACTCCTCTGGGCCTCATCCTTCCCCAATTCATGGATGTGTTGGGAGGGCTGAAGGAGAAAGAGAAGGTGTGTACAGCCCTGTGCAGTGCCTGGCACAGGGAGAATGCCCACATGGCAAGTAATGGGGGTG